AAACTAGACCTTAGCCAGGCTTGGTGTTTATACCATCAAGGTCCTTGATTAAATATTGAATAGTAGTAGATGCAGGATAGAATCCCATCCAGTGTATCTTTCCAGTTTGACATGGTACTACTCATACGTATTTCCTGAGTTTTCCATGAAGCTTTGCAAAGCTTCAGATACCCCAGAGTATTTCCCTAGAGTTTCTGAGATTGTGTCAAACCACATTAAAGCACAATAAATTACATTAATGGCTTCTTTCCTGAAAACAGATCTCTAGCTATGTCATCAAACAAAATTAAGTAACTTTGACGTTATTTGGTGAGTACTGACTCTGTTTTCTTCCCAGTGTTTACAATTTGATTATTTTTCCAGGATATTCTGAGAAGTGCAATCAGGCTGACTGATTTATAACACTGCAACTTCTCTTACCTTCTGAAGACAAGCAAATGTTTGACCTTTTCCCATCCTCCACAGGTTCTCATAGATAATTGCTAATAGCTCAGAGGTTGATGCTGTTCCCTAAGTGCCCTAGGATGAATCAGCCCAGCCAGTTTGAAAACATCACATTTATCTACTTATTTTCTAACTTCTTCCTAATCTAGATGGAAATCTTCCATGAACATCAGTGGTGTTACATGCATTGGCCTCTGGATCACCACTGCCATTTTCATGGACAACCAAAGCCAAGAAAGGCATTAAATTGTCCATCTACTGGAAAGCCATCCTCATGTACTGCAGTTTTAAGAAACCAGCATGTTCCTTGGTCTTCATTATACTACTGAAATACAGAATTTTTATTCTTTATTACTTATATTTGCTTTGGCTATAGCCTTTAAGGATACACGGAGCAAATCTGCCAGGTAATGCATCTAGAAGTTCTAGATGTTGACATTTTCATCTCAATAGTCACTGGTAAACTCTTCAAGGAATGAGACACTGCAGAAGTGTTCACTTCAGTTTGTGCTTCTGACATGTGCAGACACTGGAATATGTTAAGGCTCCAAAAACAAGGGCAAGAATTGTGTCCTTACTAATGTGGGAATTTGTATTAAATAACTCCACTTTACTCCTCGCCCTTGCCGTTCTCTTAGCCTTTTGTAGGAGCCACATTTCTCTCGCTGTTAAAGGGGAATACTTCTCACAGGTCGGAAAGGTCCACTTTTTTCATGCAGATGCAGCACAGTGAACAATAGAAACATGTACACTGGCTTTGCAAGAGTTAACTTCAACATCAGAAAGAAGCTCCCTGCAGAAAGGAAAAATCCTGCCTGGGCTAATTGCTCCACCAGGGCAAGCTCCCTGCAGGGCTGGGTTGGCCTGCTTCTGCTCCCTGAGCAAGGTCATTTACAGCCAGTTCAAAAGTCTTGGTGCTCAATAGTGACCTGGACAGGCTGGAGAGTTAGGCAGAGAGGAACCTGATGAAGTCCAGCAAGGGCAAGTGTAGGGTCCTGCACCTCGTGAGGAATAACCCCATGCACCAGTACAGACTGGGGTCCAACCTGCTGGAGAGCAGACCAGTGGAGAGGGACCCTCGAGTCCTGGTGCACAAGTTGCCCATGAGCCAGCCATGTGCCCTCATGGCCAAGAAGGCCGGTGACATCTTGGGGTACAATAGGAAGAGTGTGACCAGCAGGTCGAGGGAGGTTCTTCTCCTCCTCTGCTCCGCCCTGGTGAGGTCACACCCGGAGTGCTGTGTCCACTTCTGGGCTCCCCAGTTCAAAAAAGACAAAGAACTACTGGAGAGAGACCAGTGGAGGAAACGAGAGAGTCCAGTGCAGGGCAACAAAGATGATGAGAGGACTGGAGCATCTCCCTTATGAGGAAAGGCTGAGAGAGCTGGGTCTGTTCAGCCTGGAGAAGACTGAGAGGGAATCTTATCAATGCTTATAAATATCTTAAGGGTGGGTGTCAAGAGGATGGGGCCAGACTGTTTTCAGTGATGCCCAGTGACAGGTTAAGAGGCAACGGGCACAAACTGAAACTCCGAAGTTCCATCTGAATAGTTGGAAGAACTTCTGTACTTTGAGGGTGGCAGAGCACTGGCACAGGCTGCTCATAGAGATTGTGGAGTCTCCTTCTCTGGAGATATTCAAAACATGCCTGGACGTGTTCCTGTGCAGCTTGCTGTAGGTGAACCTTTATAGCCAGATCTTCCACTGTATGGTTGAACAGTTGCATGGTGCTGCTCTGGGGAGTCACAGGCGAAGAGCTCAGCAACGAGGGGAGGAGATGCTGATGAAGGACAAAGCAAAGAGTTCCATATCTGATAAAACCACTATGCTAAAGCCTGATCATCTTCCCATGTTGGTAAACAAAACTGAAATTCCAGTTTGGTTCCAGGAAAATACAGTGTGGCCTAACCGAGTCAGTCAGTCCCCCTTCCTTGGCCCCCACCCAGGCCACCTCCCAATCATTCCTCAATGTTCTATCTACAAGGATTCAAACTTTGAAGTGTGATCTAAAAGGTGCAAGATGGAGACTGACCTACACACTGATGTAATAATCCAGGAGAACAGCAGTCCTTTGAATGGGGCCTAATACCAAGAAATCGGGCACAAAAGGACGATCAGCTTTACAGGCTAAAAGCAACTAACCTCAGCCATCACAGAGAAAGGTGATGATGTGGGAGCAACAAACCGAGCTGTGCACTGACACTAGCAGGCTGGTTAGCATCCGTGATACAGAGGACAGAAAGGTTGTCAATCTGTCTTGTCTGTCCTGAAAATGAAGCCCAAGCAATCCATGAGAAACAATGTAGAAGCAGTAAAGAAGAGAGAGGAATGAAGGATACAGTGGTGGTCTCCAGGACACCCCTTAAGCCCAGCAGCCCTGGAGCAACACGGCTCAGAAGCCTGATGGAGGGGGCACCACGCAGCCAAAGCCGAGAGGGTTGGCGTGGTACATGGAGCAGCACCTGGGCTCCTCTCAAAGCTGCTCTCAGCTTTGTTGGCCTTCTGTGGCAACATCAGCCAGGTTTTAAAAGGCTTTTAAAAGCTCAAAAAGACCAGGCTGTATTAGAGCGTGAGCTAAAGTGAATCACTTTAAAATAGGTCAGGCAAGAACAGAAATGCAAAGGCTTTGAGAAGGATACCTCTCCCCTCTCCCTGTGTGAGCTTCCCGCTGGCATCCTGCTGCCACACCTCACGTGCTGGGCTCTCCTCTCACCGGTATCTGTGCACAAAGGAATTAAAAATCACCAACCAGCAGTTCCTGTCACAGACGAACGTTAGCACAACCACATGCAAATAACCTACCCACATATGACACAGTTTTCCTCTGAAGCGCCCTGCGTGTCTCCTCTTGAGTACCCGGACAAGGGGTAGTTCGGTCCATTGTTTTGGGTTGGGTCATTCCCAGGGGTTCAGGCAACTCAACCAGCTCCGACTGCAGATGGGCCTTCCTGGGCAAGCTTCCCTCTCTGGCCTATTTATGAGTTTCATTTTTGGAAGGATATCTGGGGAAGCAGGTGGCCATCAGGAGTGACAGCATCACATAGCAATGAATTAATGCTTGTGATGATACTGATGTTTCCAGCTTCATTCTTAAGAAGCAATGACAGCTCCAACATCCTCAAATCACAGCTTTTTCTGCTTTGCCTTATCTATCCGTGCACACATGCAAATCCACAGAGACTTTGACATCAGTTTTTAACAGGGCACACCATTTTCTGTCAAATAAAATGTCAGAACATGATCTTCCATATTTCACTAGTGCTATTCTGCCATTTAATTTAATAACAGCTAAATATCAAGTGGTTACTATTTTGATGCTGTGTTCCATCAGCTATTGAATTAGAAATAATGAGACAGGTCTAAATTTGTGATTAATGGTAAACTACCTAAATTAATCTCAATCAACAGCAGAAGACATCTAGTGATAACTGATTTAACAGATGATCATCCATTTAGCTGTCCTATCCTCTCTCACAGAAACAGGAATATTAATGAAGGACAAGTTTACTTATACTTTACAGGCCTTTTCCAGACAATATAAATAAATTTATATTCACCACAGGAACCATTTTTTTCCTTTTCTGCTATTATAGACTCTTGCATTGAATTTGACCAGTATTTTGTGTATATGACAAGTTTTTGTAGCTTCAGCTATACTGCTGAACTTCTGAGGTGACCAAAAAGTATGTCTAGTGTTTTCCATGTATATTTTTCAATTTACTATGGGCCCTAATTTCAGCAGGCTCCTCACCCAAACTGGCCCTTGGAGGAGCACCTTGCACCTGCTGTAGCAGCCACTCAGTGCTGATCCTGACAAGAGTCAACCCACAGGAGTAAACAGTTGCCGTGTTAGAAAGGACCTTCCAAAAATGATCTTGGCATAATTTTTAAAATATTGAAAGTATCTGCCTTAAAAGAAATCCTCTCTCTGTGTCTTCACTCTTCACCAAGTTAGAGCCTGCACCTTTTCTCTGCTGGACTCAAACCAATTGTCCTCTGATTTAAAGATGCCTTATACATATTTTGCTGCATCAAATCTAGAGATGAACTGTAAGGTATTCATAAATAAAACCAGTTGCTAATTTTTCCTTTATATCTTTTATTAGTGACCATCAACAAAAAGCTGACCGAAATCTTATGAGGGATGACAGTAATATAAAGAGGCAGAATCTTACAGGTATGTTTTTCCAAACTGCATAGCTTTTGAAAACAGGATGACTTGGAGATAATGAATTAATTTTTGAAGTCTGCCAGTCAATTTTGTCATTTGCTCACCAGCGTACCAGATTTAAATCTGCCAGGTGAGACAGCAACTGCATGATGCCTTTATGGCTGAGAATGATGGCGTGTTCCACATTAAAAGAACTTTTACCAAAAAAACCCAACCCAACACCTTCAAGAGCAGGTAACAGGATATGAACCAAATCAGAAAAGGTGCAGACAAAAAGGTGGCTTTTGGAGCAGACAAAAAAACATTATATGGTCTCAAGACATATATTGATAAAAGTAAATAAGATTGCTTAATAGATGGTCTGTGACATACTGCACCTGTCCACCCTAGCGTGGAATGGCACAAACCCTGTATGGATGGGGCTGTAGCGTACCCCCCAAAATGGGCTCTATGTTGACCTTTGTCACCCCCTCAGGGAGCTGGAAGGTGAACGCCCGCAGCAGATTAGCAAAGAAAATAAAGAGTTCGGTCCTTGCTAGATGCTCCCCCAAACACACACGGTGGCCTGGAGAAGGAAGAGGGAAGGACAATGAGTAAATTACCCCGACCTCAAAAGCAGTCATAAAGCAAAGGTATTTTTGCTGAGTCCAGAATTTTTTTAGGACTTAATGCAATCAATGACAAAACTTCAGGAAATTCGTCCTTTAAAGAACCCTATCTGCAGCTATAGATAACCATGCACCCCTTCTGCTCTGAGTTTCACTTCAATTACCTCAAAAACCTCATCTTTGACTGACAACTTTAAAGGAATTCGTTCAATCACGCAAATGAGGAATCAGGATTTGCTCTTCCTGGGAGATGTCATGCTCCAGTTTTGTATGCATAAAGAATCAGCACAGCTGCTTGCAAGTACTTTCTAAATGTATGTCTGATGCTGAAATGTATGCCTCAAATCAATAACCATAATCATTAGCAGAGAATTTCCTTCCAAAAAATAGGGCAAGTTAGATGTATACATTTGTCAGGACATCTCTGATCTTCCATGTTATTATTTGTTCAATAGAACAAATGTTTATAGTTGGATTGGGAAACATTACTGAAAATAATCACATTGATTTTATCACTGTTTTCCACAAAAAGGTTTAAAATAAACAACCAATAGGTTTTTAATAGACATCTTAATTCTGCAGACCCAACCCAAACCATTACTGTTTATGCTGTCAGTCCATTTACCTAGTGAGAAGGGTAAAAAGGCTTCTCGGCTCACAAAGTTTCCATCCTTATCCAAGAAGTGACCAGGGTTGAACTGTCGAGGTGTTTCCCACTGCTCTGGGTCATACAAAGACGAAGCGATATTTGGAAGAACAATGGTGCCCTGAAAGGAGAAAAACATTAATTCAGTTCAGGCTGTCAATCCTCCCCCAGCAGTCAGAAAGAGCTAGGTGAGACTGGTGTTACTTTGCTTTCAGAGTTCAGTGTTGTACGCTGGTAGGTTCATTTCCACAGCAGGAACTACAAGGAACGTGAAGTCTTTTTGTTTTGGAATGTCAGTCCAAGCCTGACAGCAGAAGTGGCCATGTCAATAGAAACTAACCACTTGATTTGTACTAAACCCATTTTCTCTTCTGATATTAGAAGCTTCTGTGATTTAGTCTCTTTGACGAAAGCTAGTTGCAAACCTTCATGCTTTTCCCTGGAATCTTTTACAGGCTTTCTGGGGCAAAAATTCAGTCAGAAATCTTTCCAATGCCTTATCAGCACAGATCAATCACAGTATCCTTTAGTATCAATCTCTAAGGTTTTATCTTCATTGGTTTGTAGAAACATTTGCTAAAACCCCCTCTTCCATCCAGGGACATCTTTCACTACTGGTAACCTTCTCCCAAGAGCTGCACCACTCAACTCAGCCTAGCAGATGGTTTCTTGTCCTTGTTCCCATTCAGGCTATGACCCGGAGGTATCCAACCCCACTGCTGTTGAGGAGAAGACCATGGCACAAAGAGATTTTTATCTACACCTTGCTCTACTGATGCAGGAAAGGTCTGTAGCAACTGAGGAACAGTGCCTGTACCTTTCTGAGGGGAAAGCCGAGCAACGTAGTGTCCCTTACACACACTCTGGGCATGCCAACTGAGACAATACTGCTGAAGCGCTGAACCTCATGAATCACAGCATTTGTGTAGGGCAGTTCTTTCCGATCCTCATAGCAGATTACCCGGGAAGGACCCAGAACAGCATCCAGCTCCTTCTGCACTTTCTCTGTGGAGAAATATTCACCGTGTCAGGCGGAAAAATATATCAAGTATTTTCACTAATTCCATTTTCAAAGACATTTACCATTTAGAGCTATGAGGACAGCAACAAAATTAATGTAAGCAACTTTTCTAAAGAAAATAAAAGTAGCAGAGTGTTCCAACAGCTTAAACATGAGACCTCTACTTCTGGGTCTGAAGTTATTTGATTGTAGATTAAGACAAGACATTTGTTGCTCAAAAATTTAAAACTCTTTAAGAGTTGCCTTACCAACACTTAAATGCAAGAGATAACGCTTGCATAAATGTTCAAATAAATATTCGGTGACTGTCAGCAGTCCTTCACAAAACTATGTTAGGTAGACTCTGACAACAGAGATTTAAGTACCTTATGGAATTCAAAATTTATGTTCAGAAAGATTTTTAAATAAAGTAAATTTCTTTCTATGAAGAACTTGCTTGCAAAATCAAGCATGACTGCTTCAGGATCCAGTATAGTTTGAAGTGATCAGTCACTGCAGAAGTATAAATATGCATCTCTGTTCCAGTAGTTCAGAGAAGGAGAGTCCAATTTAGTGATTAGGCAAAAGGTCCAACTTTTCCATATGGTACATAGTGGAACTGCATAACACTGTCATCAGGGGTCAACATCGGCAAAAGTATGAACAGGTTCAAAAAGAAGTTGCCAATTAAATGAGGACAGATATACTCCTGTCAGTTCATTCTGAGAGTCTAGGTGCAATGTATGACTCAAGAAGCCCAGCAAGGATCACTCTGCACACACTCTGCTTTCCCAAGTATGTGCAAGGAATTATATTTAGATAAATAAAATTGTTTAGGTGAGTCAGCACTTTCATAACCTTTATTACATTAGGTGGTGATAAACACGCAATAACATGAGATTAAGTAGACCTTCTTGTCTGACAGCTACAAGTTGAGCAATTTTTTTCTTATCTTCATCTCTTTCGTCCATTTAAAAACTTATTCTCTGGGTATTTGCACATATTCTGCTATCTAACAATGAGATTTCTGTTACCCAGCATAAGAGATTATTCTTCCTTTTGTTTTCCTTTAGTACTCTATGAAAGTGATTCATGGTTATTTGAAAGCTAGACTTAATGAGCTTCTTAAATATACATAGACATAACAGATGAGCCATCAAATTCCCCTCCTGACTGGAATAATTTTTGTTGCAAGAAACTTAAATACATCACAGAGTTAATTTAATCACCAATTAAATAGACACACTGATACCTTGGGATCATAAATGGACTGATGGACAAAAATAAAGTCAAAGTTGCCAGTTATCTTTAGGTGATTATCTTTACTACTTCTGTGACCTACAGAGCACAAAGAAGGGCAGGATTCCCTGTAGCCCTCATCACTGATACTCAGCCAACACAAATCAGAACTGAAGTCAGTTTCCAACGACTGACATCCCTACTATCACACATCAGTTTCTGGTTAATTATTTTCAGCCATCAGCCATGTTTATGACTAAGACAGAACCCAACTCAGGTTCTTAAAGTACCATCAACACCTCACCAATGGCTGCAGCAGTAGCCACTGTTCCTTCAAGGATTATGCATGCAAACCCTCTGACTTCCCAAACAGTGACTCCAGTCCTTTTGCTCCAATGACCACCCTACTACAACCTTCATTTCCCCGAAGACCTCAACCCCTACATCTCAGTCAGCCACAACCCTCTATATATACACATACTTCCCAAACTGTTAACTCTTTCTGGGAACTGCCTTATGCCTGTGACTGCTGTAAGAGTTTGTCTACAGATACTCTGATCTACCGATGCCGCCTAGTGCAGATCTACCAGTACAAAAAGGTCCATGTGCCACTAGCCATATACCAGTATCTAGGAATAATCTCTGATCCCTGAAAATGTTATGACTTGGCCATTCCATTGCATCAGAGGTATTTGTGACATGCTTATCTACTCACCTTGGATGTCTGGATTTGCCACCATATAAAGCAGGCCCCAGTTCAAAGTAGTGGTTGTCGTCTCTGATCCACCCAAGAAAAGATCATTTATAGAATAAATCATGTTTTCTTCATTGTATGTAGACCTGGGTTCATCTTTAGACTGCAAATGATAAGAAAAAGTAGAGGTTTATACATGAAAGTTAGAAAAACCAGAATAGGGTTACATATGATTTTATCACTGGTTCCAAGCTGCAATGTGCTCCACCTATAGTACACTACAGAGAGACTGATAAAGAATATTAGACACCAAAGATGATTGTCAATACAAAAAGCTAACATTTCACAAATGGACAAGCCATGTTCACTCCACTCTTAATAATGAAGCTAAATCGCATGTTCTCCACAGAAAAGGATTGCTGGCTTAATTGTGCAAATAGTGGTACATTTAGAATGTTTTTGTAAGTAAATGTTCCTCTGAAGATGTGTACCAGCGTGTCATTCTTCATGCCTCAAGTCATATATTTAAGAGCGACAAAGCTGGTGAAGGGCCTGGAGAAAAAGCCTTACGAGGAGCGGCTGAGGCAGCTGGGGGTGTTTAGTCTGGAGAAGAGGAGGCTGAGGAGAGACCTGATCGCCCTCTACAAGGACCTGAAAGGAGGTTGTAGCGAGGCGGGGGGTTGGTCTCTTCTCCACGGTAACTAGCGATAGGACAAGAGGAAACAGTCTCAAGTTGTGCCAGGGGAGGTTCAGGCTGGACATTAGAAAGAATTTCTTCAGTGTTAGAGTCATTAGGCATTGGAACAGGCTCCCCAGGGAGGTGGTGGAGTCACCATCCCTGGAGGTGTTCAAATAACGTTTAGATGGGGCACTTCAAGACATGGTTTAGTGGGTTTAGCAGGCATGGTGGCATCAGGTATACGGTTGGACTTGATGATCTTTGAGGTCTCTTCCAACCATAATGATTCTATGATTCTATGATATTCCATCATTTAGTTTTTTAGCAAGCAATACAGTGCCCAGGGAATGAACACTGGGCTGTCAGAAGTTCTTATCCTGTGGTATTCAGGTTTCTTCTCCACTACAAGGACACAATGAGTCAGGTACAGCTGCTCTGGGGTTTTACAGTTTCCGGTTAGAAGTGTGAGGACATGAACATATATGCTGAAACTATGAAAGAATATTGTTATGATTTGGGGGAATTCATTGTCTAATTTTAGGTAGGTTATGCTCTAACCTTTCTTTTGCCTGTGGGGCAACTGGAAAGTGGGAAGGCCATTTTTCCCTGTTGTAATATCATCTAATCTTTTTATATTGCTCCTGCATATCTATTACAGACAGTTCAATTTTTTTAATAAACAAACTTGGATGATTTCCACTCAGCAGTCCCAGAAGTGCTCGCTGAAACAATTTCTGGTCCACTAATGTTCAAGTCTCATAAACCTTAGAACAGTAGTGAAAGGCTTTAGAAGCAGTAACACACTTTGGAAGACCAGCCGTGTTAATATTGTGCCAGTATAAAAAAATTTAAAGCAAGAGGATCCAAGGAACTAGAAGCATGTTAGGCTGACATCCACCCTAGACAAAAAAATATAACAGCTGATATGGGAATGAATTAATAAAGAATTATCAGCCAGAAATACAAATTAATGCTATGTATTATGAAATGGAAAAACTGATCTCGGCAAGGAGATCTGATCTGATTCTTTGATAGAATTACCAGCTTGGATGATAATGACAATTTCACACTTGCAATATACTTGGAGTTTCACAAGATAGTTGCTTTTGTTCCCCAAAAGAATAAAAAAGCCAAGCACTACGAAGTATTCAGAAGACACATGCTAAAAGACTAAAGAGCTGACTGACAGAAACAGCTAATAGACATTCTTCCCTGGATGCATGTTTCCATAGTGTGATTGAGCAGAGCAGCAGAACCAACTCGGGGAACACACAAGGCAGGCGGCGGTCCAGAACGGCAGACCCGTTTGGGCTGTGCCAGGAGATGCAGGATGGGTGCCCACAGCCTGAGAAGGTTGCAGTGCACTCCATTGCTGCAACCAGCACATGACCACGGTGGAAGGGGCACCGCCTGTCCCTGCAGGGAAGCACTGCCACCCAGGAGCAGCAGTCACTACTCACTTCGCCAGAGGCTGCAAGAACAGATACCGTCCACCCTGGATATCTTGTTTGGCTCTCAGAGCCCCTCTTGCCTTATCACCCCCCCAGTAACACCAGTCTCATCTTGTCACTTCCTTCCCTTTCTCCTTTTTCTTCCTATTGCCAAGCAGAACAGGAGGAGGAATATGGCGTACTGCAGCGGAGAAGAGGAGGAAGGAAGAGTGATTAAGTGGAGGTAGAAGGAGTCATAGAGGGGAAGGGCAGCTGCTAGTGCCAGTGATTAGGGAGGGGATCCAGTTCCCAAGAGATTCAGACAAAATAAAAGTGATCCTGGTAAGGTCTAGAAGAGGGAGAGATATGTGTCCCCATTCACAGCCTATACAAGCCTCCTACAGCCTTTCAAAACCTTGCAGATTCCCACCTACCCCTACTATGCCTGCCTGCCCAAAATGTCCTTATTCGTCCCAGTTCCCTTTGTCTGCTTGAAACTTCACTGACCCTGGCACTCTCCTCTTCTCCAGTCTTGTCTGAAAGTCCACTGACTCCTAGGTTATTTCCCCACAAAATGCTCTCACAAATCCAAATGTCCTCTTGCAGCAACCTCTCTTGACAAACTCTTACCAGCCAAATATCCTATCCAGAACACCCCACTCTTGTCTCCCAAGACCTTCCTAGTTCTCTTGTGAGCCACTCAGAAATGCAGTATTCTCTTCTGGAAGCCTTAAATCATTTTGTAACTTGTGCCAATGAGAAAAAATGCAGTGTATTAACCTGCCCTTTAACGAAAGGATTGCAAGATGCTGTGGCATATCACTAATTAGAAAGGATTTAGCAAGTCCCTGGTTACTGGATTCACATTAGGATGTCTATGCAAAGTAAGAGATTGTAATAGGAGGGCTCAGACTGGATAATTTAATGGTCCATTTCACCTTATTCCCCATGGACGTATGATCAGGCAGAACAAATACTTACTTTTTCAATGTGAGCCAGGTAAAAATCAATGAAATCCTGCAGTTCGTCTGGTATTCCACGCTCCGTGTGCATTCTGATCTCTCTCCTTGTAAAAGAGGTGAGGACATCATAGCAAGACAACGCCTTCTTATGAGGACCAGGAAGATGGCGTATCAGCCAGGGGAAGATTTCATACAGCTGTGGGAGCGACACACAAGAGGTACTACAGTCTCTATCACTAGGAAATGCATTTTAGGCCTACTAAAAAGAGAAGGTAATATTCATGTTAGCATGTAGTTTTGGCATCATTAGTAAAATATTCTGACAAAGGCTATGCTTAAGTTTTCAAGTTGTGAAACAGTACAATATATAATTTCTAGCTGTGTTGATGGTAAGATTCAGAGTTCCACAGGCTTTCAGCTCAACCACAAGCCTAATTAGAATGAACTGTATTCATTTATTCCATTTTTCAGTTCATGTATTCAATGACAATGAACCATATTCAAACATTTAAAAAGTGAGATCCTGCCCTCCAGTGGAGAATACCAGGGAGGAAGAAGCAAAGTCATTGCAAACTGTCCTTGCCAGGATGTGCAAAAGCAGGTGATACAACCCAAAGCAAGGGCCGGCTACCAGCAGCTGGCAGACAAACTCAGTAATCCCCCAAAGCACTCTCTACTAATCGAGCTCTCAAGGGTCCTCAATAAGACTTGAAATATCTGAAACCAAGCAAAGCTGAGAAACAGCTACCTGACAATTTTGAGTGCTCCCCTCTGGGAAAGAAGAAGGGGTTAGCTGACACAACCAGGTTGATTTTATCCTTGCCGTTACTGTTTGGCAAATTCTGGCCTAAGATTAGCTGCTAACTATTCTGATAGCTAGAAAGTTCGTTCTGATTTTCAGCCTATATTTATGCCTGGGTAATTTGTATACATTGTGCTTGTATTTTCTCTTAATAGTTCTTTTCCTGCTCGAAACATAATCCCGTGATTTATTTATCAGAAGTTCTACCCTTTCTCAGAATTAATTTTGCTGAGCTCTTCTTGTACTTTCCTAATTATACCGCAGAAAGCACGTCATTAGGTGTTCACTGGAGTCTGGCTGAATTAGGCAGACTATGCTTCCGTCTTTCTGGAAAATCATTTCTTATTTTCAGACATCCAATTATCAATTAATCATTGCCTTATCACAGAAAGGTGGCAGTACAGCCCTTGGTAAATTCACATAGAACTTCATATCCTTTTTGTTTAGTTCCATTTCTGGCATTTTTTTTTCTTTCAAAATCTGTTCAGAAGCCTTACATACAACTGTGGTCTGACTAATCATATATAGTTGCCCTTCTTACAGGCACTCCTACTCTCAAATGCATGCATTTTCCAGCTACTATGGCACCCTAACTATAAGTGGAATTTAGCCGTCAAGGTTCAAGACAGGAACTGAGCCCATCCACCTTCCTGGCTACCAGTCCTGCCAAAACTCCTTCTCCATTTCTGGAGGGGCCCGACCCACAGCATTCTCCCGTTCAGCACCTGACAGCATGGAATCCAGTTAAGAAACAGGGGTGTGGACACATCATACACTTTTTACGTAATACTGAGTAACCTTCTCATCCAGGAAGTGGGAAGATTGCAGCCCTCCCTCTGGAAAAGTTTGAAGCCCTGTTTTATTTCCTAGAACAGTATCTTATTCATTGGACTAAAGCAAAGCTAAGATAGGAAGGAGAGAAGAAAAGGAGGTATATTCTCTGTCCCAAAAGCAGGTCTTGTCTGCCACCGCTACACACAACTTACAGGACCAAAGCTAGGGTAAGCAAAAGGGAACCTGATCATAACTCAGTGAGAAGAATGTTCCATGGGATGTGGGGGGAAATGTCTTTATTACAGGGATTGCTTATGTGTTTTACATTAAGAAGCTACTGCATAAGATGTATGGGACAACTTTAGAAGTGGAACCAGAACCAGAACTCCTGGGCAACTTGGAACACACTTCTGTGCAAAGCAGGGCTCTCTAGTGTCAGATAGGTCCTCGATCCTCAGAAGAGAGCTGATTGTTTTGATTGCCAAGCTGACAGGTGTATTTGCTGGCTTAGCATTGCCTGTCTTCTGCTGCCTGTATCCAGAGCTGCTCCTCACTCAGGGTGAAGAAGTGGAATTTCTCTGGGAAGTCTCCAAGTCTCCACTTCTTATAAAGGAAATGGAGATAAGTAGCCACAGACAAAACATTTAGGTATTTGAATCATTCTTCTCCCTGTTGACTATATATGAACTTGGCCTGTGAATCACACTTTTAGACCTGACATTTAGTATTTAACAATCTTGATGCCCAAGGCAGGAATCTCTTGTGCATAGGGGTTAAGAAACCAACTAACAAACATGACCCAGGAGCAGTCCATCAGCTTGTGCCTTGCTGCAAAGATGGAGGAGCAAACTACCTTATCACAGTACTCAAACATAGGACAATGAACACAAATGACCATGGCTGGTATGTAGAGCTTTACCATGAGACTTTGAGACAGTGCGCTGCCCAGTAAAACTGCATGGGACATCACTCACCCATTTGAAAACTTTTGCCCAAGAGCTACCTCTTGAATCTACATTTCTCACTTTCTGTCTTAGTCAGAAAAAGAGAACAGATCATTTACTTACACGATGAATAAAGCTGCCTCCAAATTTGAATAGCTGCTCTGTGGCTCTAATCAGTTCATGGAAGGTTTCATCGTCTCTGGAGAAGCGATGTCCAAAAACGACAGCACAAATTACATTTGAGACAGAATGAAAAAGAGGGAAAGAAGGATCCAGGGGTTTCTCTGCAACCATAATAATAAATGCCACTGTTAATGTCTCCTGTTTGCTTTAACGAAATGAAAGAATATTATAGGTTCCTCAGATAACTTTCAAGAGAGCATTGCCGTCCACAGAGAAGCAGCAATCTTCTTGCAAAACTGTAGTATCAAACTGATTCTTCACAGCCATGGTGCAATCTCATAATCCCAGGAATGAGTGGCACCCTAAAGAAATGCCAGAGGTGTAAAATATTTCATAATATGATAGAGCAAATTTAGAGGTAAGAGAAAAAAAAAATCTATGCAAGTGTGCTCTCTGGCAAATTTAAAATAGATCTCAAGCATGGGAATTCAAAGGGAATGTGGTCTAAGGGAATCTGAGGGGAGAACTGTAAGAAGAGAGGCAGCCTTATTCAGCAAGGACATAAATACGTGCAAAGCTACTGTATTTTGTCTGACTTTGCTAGAGATGTACAACCTCCAGTAAGATAAAAGGTTGTAAATTCCTTTCAACCAATTGTGTCAACAATAAAACAACTAATTTTAAAACAATTACTTGAAAACCTAATCCCAAAAAAACTACTTTGTGACTCCAGAACAAATTATTATAAACAACTGTATTTATGTATGTATCGATGCAACTGTCCAACACCCAATGCACAATTCTGATTAGCAACTTACAGTTCTGGGCTTTTTTTTCCCGGCACACATAGTCACATCTCAGTCTCTCCCAGTTCTTAAACCATGGGATTGGGCTATATTTAGTTACTTTTAATTGATAAAATGCTAGCCACAGCATGTCCTGATTTACTGTGCCTTTGCATAAAGATCAGTACTGGGAAATCCAACTCACATGCTCCTAACTAGGTTGATCAGGGTAAAAAGTTCTAATGGAGATAAGATTCTAGACACTGCTTTGCAAAGTGCATGCAAATGGTGTTACAAGACTTAATTCATCAGGATTGATAGTGTGTCTGTATCTTTATGCACCAGCACCACATATGAGCCAGTAATGTGCCCGTGAAGCAAAGGCGACCAACATCATCCTGGGTTGCATTAAGAAAGGCATTGCCGGCCGGCCAAGGGAGGTGATCCTTCCCCTCTGGTCAGCACTGGTGAGACCCATCTGGAGTGCTGGGTCCAGTTCTGGACTCCCCAGTACAAGAGAGACATCGACATACTGGAACAAGTTGAACAAAGGGCCACAAGGACAATTAAGGGATTGGAGCATCTGACGTTAAAAGAGGCTGAAAGAGCTGGGACTGTTTAGTCTGCAGAAGAGAAGGCTCAGGGAAATGTATTAAATACGTATAAATACCCGGTGCAGGGGAATAAAAAACATGGAGCTAGACTTTTCTCAGTAGTATCAAGTGAGTCAGTGGGCAAAAAATGAAATACGTTAAATTCTGCCTAAACATAAGAAACTTTTTTACTGTAGCTCTGATTGAACACCAGAACAAGTTACACAGAGAGGTGGTGAAGTCTCCATTCTAGCAGACGTTTAAAACACAACTGGACTCAGCCCTAATAAACCTGCTCTAGTTAACCCTTCTTTGAAGAAGGGGTTAGACTAGACCATCTTCAGAGATCCCTTTCTGCTTTAAGCATTCTATGATATAAACAATAAGCTCCAATTTTGCTTCCCAATTTTAGCAGTTTTGTAAATAACTTTGAACAGGAACAGTCTCCTTGAAAACACAGGACTGGGGTCTTTGCACTTTCACTCCATTTCACATAGACACTGTAAGACACTGCACACTCTCTTGTGGAACAAAAGCTGCTCTTAATTTCAGGGCAGGACAGAGAAGTTCAGGCACTAAAGACATCAGACTAATAACAAAAATGAATCAGTATTTATTGTCAAGATACCTCTCATACTTGCAAAGAAGGCTACCAGGTAGTGGGCCTCTTCTTGAACTCGATGCTCCAGACCTCTTTTCCCCAGACCAAGGTTGCGTAATGTCCTCAGTGCAAACCTTCTCTGCTGCTTCCAGGTGTGACCAGTTGCCAGCATAATCCCTGCATCCAATCAAGGAAGAGCTCTTTATCATGCTAATATTTATTATAGACAAAGACTACATTAAAAGATATACTAAACCACAGAATATAATGAAACTACTGCATTGCCTATGAACACAAAACACAGAGGAACAGCTGAGGCATGTAAGCATGTGGGCAGGGCTAAAATGGACAAACTCAACTGGGTAATAAGACAATTTGCAGGATTAAGCTTGATCCAAGACAACCTGTTATCTCAGAAAGTTTGACAGCTGCTTCTCTATACGTTCTCTAAAGTGTTTGCCTCTCACTCTCTTCTATGCTTGGAGCTCACCTGACCAGGGTAATGATTCTCATAAAGGGAAAAGAGTTCTGGCTGTCCACAGTCAGGGAGAAAAGTTCCTGTCCACAGGGCAGAAAAGTTCAGTACTTAGGCTTTGTGACCAGTATCTCCAGGAGAAATAAACATCCTATACTAACAGGATCTTTAATGCAGTATAAGAATCACCAATGACTGAAACAAATTCATATTAGAAATATTTAAGGAATTAGGTTTCCTTAAAAAAAGTCAAGGTCCCAGATAAGATAAAGGTTGTTTCATAATGCATGTGTTCATGAAAATCAGGAGTTTGGGAATTTCCAGTATTGTTGGGGAGTATGAAACAGCAAGGTTAAAACAGAAGTGCACAGAACCTCTAGATGCAACTGTAAGAGTAAGAAAATATTCACAAAAGGAAGGGAATGGGAAGAAGATCCCACCATCAAGCTCACTCTTCAATTTCAAATGTAATGGTGGGAGGCAGCAAGTCCAGGACAAAGTAGTATGCTGTTTCCTGCTCTTCCTCTGCTTCTCTGTGGCACAACCTAGCACTGCATTATCTCATCACCTCTGAATCTGCTCCAGTGAATATTTCACACAAGGCATTATGAATCTTTTTTCTTTTGCTGGTCTTTTCCTCCTACTACTATCCAAAGGCTATGTCACCCCTCCCTACTTTGCAGTTCACCTGGCAGCCATTCCTGGTAGACAAACCTCGCTACTGGGATACCTTTGGAAGTGGTTACAAGCTACAGAAGAACTGCAATTTGTCAAGATGATGTTTCTGTGCAATATTTACGGCAAGAAATTCTCACCTTTTCCTTTGGCCATTGCTTTAAAGAAAGGCGACACTAGCCTTCCAGAAACATCTTCAGGGTGCATGGTCATACCATCCTTAACTGCTTGAAATCCATTCAGTACAATCACTGGGGTCCATCCAAACCATAAGGTGAATATGTTGCCATGAATTTTTGCCAGCTATAGATGGGAGAGAAGCCAGGAAAGCACAGATGAAATACCACACGCTGCAAACAAACAGAGGATGAACCTGTTTTTACACCGATTACAGGATCAGCCCTAAGGTGGAATGATGTTCTCCATCTTTCCCACAAGATTACAATTACCTGTGAGAAAGCATGAATGTCTTTTCCAGCATTCAGTGTTGGAAACAACTGAGTATTCCAGCTTTTCAGAGCCACAGATCTATGCCAAGAAACATCAGGCAGCTTTTATTACTGTATACAAGCCAAGGCTCAGTTCACAATGATTCATGTGATAAAGGGTATTTTTTTATGCATGAATGTATTTCAAGAGGGTTTCTATCATTTGTACTGGTGAAGTGGTGCAGAGGGAACACAGAAATGTCAGAGGAGTAACTGGCTTGCAGAGATTGGACGAGCTACTTTCTTCTTTCCCCTCGATGTTTGCATATTTAGGTACTGGAACTCGAGTAAGACCATTCTGTCTTACCATGTCCTTACTTCCATTTGGTCAGAATAACTGGCGTACCTTGTCCAAATCACAGTGACAGAAGCCACTGGAGTTGTCTATTGAGAATCCTGAAAGCTCTGCGAGAACCAATAGATCGAAATAGAGGTGGCTTTGTACACAGAAACACTCCTCAAAAAACAACTAACAAAAGGTTCATGGGGTTTTTTAGATTCTATCAATACAAACAAGCAAGATGCACTATGTGTGTACATAAGTATTTACTGCTGTAGCTAGAGAGTGCCAGCTCTCAGAAAGCTAAAAATCCATGCTAAGTAATTTTTTTTAAATAGTATTTCTTTTCCCTCACTGTAAATCTGATATATTATCCCTAAAGGTATTTAATCCTAAATGATATAAATTTTCACATGAATTTGTAAAATTTAGGCTTAAGGGGTGATGAAAGGATATCAAGTTTGACATGAATTTGTTAAATTCAGTGTTAAAAGGTGATGGGTTTAACCATCAGAATGATCTTCACACATTCAGAACTTCCAATACCAGTTTTCTTAGCTTGGCAAACTATCCTACTTTTAACTTTTTCTTATTTTACCAAACAGACCAGCAGTTACAAACCAAACTGAGTGCAATATCATAGTGGCTAGTTAACAATTACAGTACGTTACCAATGTAGTTTTGGGAGAGGACGTTTTCACATAGCAAACAACATGAGAAACGGGAAATTACAGACCTTTAAACGATTAGGAGTATCCGAAAATAAATACCTTCATGAGGAGATCACGATTAAACTGAAAGTTCAGCTGCATCAAGGTCCCAAAAACTGGGAGAGGGATTGGTCCAGGAGGGAGCCGTCTCCGTACTCGTTGCAACTTAAAAAACTGCACAGTTAGAAGAAATACAGCCACAGCTATAAGAACTTGACTTATTGTCAACATTTTAACGGCTGCTTTTACCAGCTTGTCTTTATTGAAAATAGTCTACTGAAGTTATTAAGGCTGGTTGCTCAACCAGTTTTTTTCATAACAGTTTAGATTTCATATAATAACTATTCCCCGCCCCTAACCCTCCCTCTTCATTATCAACCACTCCCTTTTTGTCCCACTTACTACATTCTCATGCTCAAGTATATTTAATAGATGCATCTCCCTCTCCTCATTCAGATTTTATTTATCAAATATGGATCACAGGATTTGTAGATGTTGTGTATTTTTATTTTTATTGTAAACAATTTTTATTGTAAATAATTATTTATTCAGTGGTGTCTTAAAAGACTAGGGCCAAGATTTTCAAGGCAATGTAGATACACATATCCACATGTAAATCTTCCATCTAATTTTCTGAAACAATTGTGGATGGTATGTGCTCCTACAAATACTTCGTGAACGCTTTCAGAAAAGCAATAGCCATATATACAAATTAAGCATGAAAATGTAAGTGGATATTAAATCTTGGAGTTTTTAAAATGTTTTGTATATATTCCATGTACACATATATCCAGTAATGGCAAGGCTGATAAAAGTTAAAAGCCCACATTTATCTTAAGATACATATACAAGTATCTAATGCTTAGTACAAAAAGCACAATTTTTTAGGGTTTAAAATGTAATTGAAAACATAACTGGTTTAATATATAACTTCATTTTTTTTCATAACCTATTTGCAACAGCTAACTTCACTGAGGGTTCTGCCTGAAAGGGGAAATTCAGAAGCAATCTTGACATAAACATGGATACCCTAAAAGATATTTTGAGCAATTATCAGGAAAGGTTGCCAGATAAATAAAGCATATGCATATAGAAAGTACATCTAGTGTGAAACACACAGATTAAAAAAAAAAAATGGGAAAAACCTGTTAGAATCTTGAGCTACAACCAGAAGTAAGGGCCCCAGCAAGAACTAGTCATGACATGCGTGTGCCATACTTGGCAACTTGAGAATCAAGACAGTCAGTAGCCAAGGCTCTTTGCCAAGCCTCCACACACGCAGGAAGTATAAAGCTAGCATCAGGGGAGTTTACACGCCTGCGATCAGACCATAAAAACCACGTGAGAGGGATTCTGGGCAGCACATAACAATGACAGCTATAGCCCTGTGTTACAGATCTAGATTGAAAAGACAGAAAAGGCAATCAGCTGAAGGATTTCTAGCACACCTCCCTTTCTGACCTGCTTGGGTTTTTGTTTGTTTGCTTGTTTTCTGCAGACTTTGTCATATGATGATTTAGAACTGAAAGGCTGCTTGTTTTTAATCTATATTTACAGCAGGTGGCAAGACATTATAGAAATGATCACCAGGGCTGCACAGTTTACATTTACAGTCTTCCTAGCACTATGCATTTTGCTGCTACTATTTTGATAACTGGATCTCTCCTCCAAGAGAAACTTTTCCATGTGTCCTTCCTTCTCTCTTCCAACCTTTTCCACATACGGTTGGACTTGCCTTTTCCTGGAATTCTTTAAAACAGTGGAATGTGTTCACATACCTATTTGTGTGCACCTGTCTGTGCCTTCCCAGTTGTGCTGGAGAATGAACAGATCTTGAGTTCTTATCACAAGGAGTAAATAAATCCCCGTTCAGTGCACATACCTATTGAAAATGGTTAGAACACTTCTCCGTTTACAAAGTTTCTGTCTTTATCCGGAAAGTGGTCTGGGTTGAACTGATCAGGTGTCTTCCATTTTCCAGGATCAGACAGAACAGTTGATATTTGATAAAATTATGGTGTTCTGAAAAAAGGAGCAACGGCTTCAGTTCTGTCTTATTGTTCATATTCATCAGATAAGCAAATAATGACAAATGAGCAGAGAATTTAAAGTCCTAATTCAAAGTCTCATTTTTTAAAAAAATGAGATCAGACTTTAAAACATTTCAAAAGAAGTTTAAACTTTTGAGAATGTTGTGACTTCCTTTCCTTTATTACTCGCTGTCAATAAGTTCAATAAAATAAATGGTTAGGATTTTATAACATTCATATTGTTAAAATGTGTTGATTTTATTTTTTGTATTGTTACTGTTTTTATTACTTATTCAGCTTTTGAGTTACAGAATATCATGAGTATCAGTTTAATTTTTCCTTTTGTTACTCAATAATTTCTGCAACATTACAGTTGCTTTGAGCAGATCCAGAAAAAAGGAATGAAAATGAAACTACATGAACAGAAGTGATGGGAGAATATTTAGAAACAAGTCCTAACGTACCTTTCAGTTACAAAGCTTGAAAATACTTTAGTATCATTATAACATTTGCAAGATACTGCATTTAAAAGCTGTGATATGAAAATTATTTCAAATTTGCAAGTTTTTTAGAAAACCTTTTTTCCACTTCTGAGTGGCCTCTGTTTACCAGCTGATAAGCCATTTTGACAAGGGACAGACTTAAGATTGCTGGAAATTAGTATGTTCATTTCCAGTCACCATTTGCAAGTTTTCTGTTGACAGAAATAACAATCTAAGAACCTACTAGTAGTTAGGACAGAGTGCATGTTTCCTTGCAAAAGGCCAGCCTTAGAGACAGTCTTAGCTTAGGGGCACTGCTAGAACCGACAGGACACAAGAGTTCATGTCCCCGGTCAGGAAAACTCTCAAAAGCCTTTCTAAATGCATCTAATGTACCAAAGACCTACTGACAGCAGTTCTCAATCACAGTTGCTTTTCAACTAAATGAGCAATTAAATAATAAGAAACTAAAAAAGGACAGTGTTTTGGGAATCACTAGCTGAGGTGGCTTCAGTCGTTAAAAAGTTACATTAAATCAGTTTTAAAGACTGTTACAAGTGCACCAGACATCAGACATTCAAATATGCAGCATATTTGTACCTTTGGAACAGGAAATCCCAGCAGCTCTGTGTCCTTCACGCTCTGTCTGGGAAGTACAATTAGGATTATAGTACTGTGCAGCATTTGTATAGGGTAACTTTTTTCTGTCCCTGTAGCAAATTAAATGGGAACAACCCAGAACAGCATCCAACTCCTTCTGGACCTTCTCTAAGGAGGAATATTCAGCTTTAAATATACAACAAACAATCTATAAGCTCTGTACTCATAATTTTTCCTATTGCTTTTTACAGGAAGAATAACATCCAACAAGATGAAAAAAATATTTTGTAAAATAAGAATGCCTTCAAATTCCCATACAGATGACCTGAATAAAATTTGACACCAATGTTGTTTATAGGTTGTATAGGCAAGTAATACTTTTAAAATAATGGTAGCAGATGAAGTCGTTCTATAAGAATATTTAGGTTCCTGTTATGTTTACTGCTCTGAGGTAATTTATAAAAAGACTTTTATTAATGTTTATTTTTACAGGCAGAGAATCAACTGAGAAATGAAATACTCATCGTGTATTAGGAGACCAGTTCACTAACTGATCAAGGACTGTTTTTCACTCAGAACCACATAGATTTTGCTTGTCATCTACAGATGGCCTAATTGCTATTCTGTAATTACCTGCCTTGGGAAGCACTTACACAAATGAATTTTTCTCAAGGACTTTTTTTTTTTTTACTTACAATCTGAGTTGAAATGGTAATTTCTGATTAACTTCTGAGATGAAATGATCTGATTAATACTACAGCCTTTATCATTGCAATTAGATTGACCCCGTGCATCAGGAAACTTAAGATTGTTTTAATACATCCTGGGTGGATGGTGAAAGATCATGTTGTGAAAATTCAATGTGTGCAATCCAGTCTCAAATTTGAGGTCTTTTGAAGAGCTGGTAGGTAACATCAATGGGAGATCCTTTCTCATTACCACTTCCACCATTTTCTTCTTGCCAGCCTCCTGCTGTGCCTGGTACCCAGCTTAAACTCTGAAATATAAGGCCTTTGAAGTTATTTGTATACCTTTTAATCCTTTCTAGCCTGTACACTCTGACTCGTCCTTTTCACTTATTTTACTGTATCAACCTATATATTTCTTCTGTGAATATCATTATTAAAAGCATATAGTTTCAAGTTACTCACCCCCATTTTTTTTTAATATCTATTTATATGTAGATATCTATGTTTGAACTTTCAAGCTTCATGGAATAACCACACATATTAGCAATATCCCTCCGTATTGAAATTATTTCTGCTGCAAAGAAGCCAGCAGCATATCAAAGAGTAGCAGTCATGGGTTGAAAAGGGTGACTTGAAGACTCTACCTTGTTCTCAGTGGAAGCCTAATCATTATCGTCAGTGGAGGGGTGATGGTACAATTTATCTCATCTAAGACTATTCTCCTCTATCTCATCAGATGAATTGCACCCTGCATTCTGTATAGATCTCTTAAAAACAAAACCTAAAATGACGCACCTGTGTGTTAAAAAGGATACAGCAAGAAACAGATACATGCAGTTCACCTGATTCATACCCTAATAATTAGTTCCTCTACTATTCTTTGAACAAGCTCTGCTACTATTTGAAAGATATATAATTTCTAAAAAGTTGCAGAACTGTTTGAGCGTGCTTACCTTGAATATGAGGATAAACCACCATATAGAGCAATGCCCAATGTAAAGTGGTGGCTGTAGTTTCTGTACCTGCCAGAAAGACATCAAAAATAGTCTGGACCAAGTTTTCTTTATCATAAGTAGCACCAGCATCTCCTTTAGTCTGCAGCTATGAATTGAAAAAATCAAGTTATGGCACACAAAAAAAAACAAGTAAGGCACCTTGCATAACAGGAATATTTACTGATAATATCCAAAAGAAAAAAAAAAGCTAGAAAGTAAAACTTTCTGAATAAAATGAAGACATTTTCTAATATTCTCCAGTACATTTGTCAATTTATCCTATCCACATACACATTTTGTTCTTCAGCCATTACAAAGTTACTGATTGTACATGCTTTCTACTCCTGCTGCAAATCCCATAGTAACTGTAATTTCCAGTTGTACCTTAACCGTATACAGATCTGTTATTATTGCAGTCACAGATAATCTACCTGT